TAGGTATAGATGGTAGAAGGGCTTTGGGGTTTGCAAGCGAATATTTTCCTGTTAGCCACGCAAATGACCATTTTGTAATAAATTCTATTCAACTAGGATTCATGTTTGATGTTGTTTACACCAAAGCTAGTTTGATTTACACCAAGTTAGGATGCTTCTTACGCCTCACTAGTTTCACTAGCTCTTTCTCAGTTCTGCTGCTCTTCTTTATCAACATCATTAATGAGCCGAAATTCCATGGCTCAAGAATTGATATTGCCACAACTGGCATCTCATTGAGTGGAGCTATTGCACAAGAACTTTATGCAGCATGGATAATGCTTTCTTCTTATCAGGCTGTTCTTGTTGCGGAATTTCATCATAATGTATTGGTATGCAAATTGTTTAAGGTCATCTCAAAGTACTTCCCTTGCTTATTACATCAAGGTAAAAGGTGGTGAAATCACATGGGTCAATTTGATTTGTTGGAATAGTGTCGGCGTTACAAGAAAAGGAAGGGAAACTTAATCACTTGGTTTTCTAATTAATCTCTATTGGCAGTGAAATTACCGGAAGATGGCACAAATACAGGTTTACTAAATTTGTGGATGTTCCACCCTTTTTGCAACTAGAAATAACTTACGTTCACCTCTTGAGTGCAATCCTTTTGACAAAATAGAGATCTAATACTTGAAATTAATTCAACTTTTTTGGACACGGATTAGTATATGTTTCAGTTTCACACATTGTAAAATATATTTATTAAAAAATTAATATTTTTTATATAAAATTAAAAACAGATAAACTTCAAAAAATAATTATGCATACATGATGTAAGATCTAGTTGAGTTAAACTATATTTATATTGTATTTTAATAACTGAACCAGATAAATATTAAAAATTATGTTGAACTAAACGTATATCAATTATTTTTCACTTTATTTATAAATTATAACTCACTTAAAGTTAGCACGTATGAGCCTTAACTTTGTTACTAGCACATTCTCAGTCTTCTACTTCAACTTACGAAGAAAAGCATGTAACTGGGTGCGTCTTTCTTTTCATCCTAGCTCCTATATGTATTTTTTTCGGGAAATGATGTGCACACTCTCCATTGAAAAAAAAAAAAACCCATCCCCTCCCCGGTCCAATCTTTTTTTTTATATATGGGGGTGCACACCCGGGTGTTGGATCCGGGTGTGCACCAATCAGGGTCCATTTCTTTCCTATGATTTGTAACTTTTATTTTGTCATGTAACACATGCATGCATGGATTGCATAAGCAATTTGCAAGTATTATCACAGAAGTGTGTTTCAAGTGATTATAAATCTGAGACTCTAAATTAAAAATTTTAATTTGAAACTTTGAGATAGGTAGGTAGGGAAAAAAGTATTATTAAAAAAATAAAGAA